AGGCTATGGCCATACTAAAGACTACGGTCATATAAAGGCTACAGCCAAAATAATACGGCTCGGAGACGTCCGACTTACGCTATAAATTAAAGGCCTTCAAACACTTTGTAAAGACCGGTTAAATCAGGCTACCCTCAGCAAAAGCAAAGTATAAAGGGCTTCGATAAATTTAGCCTCCCGAAAAATCTGAGTGCCTCGATAAGCTCAGCCCTCGAATAATCCAAGGGCTTCGATAACGTCGGCTTTCGGAAATACCTCAAGAGGTATTCAATTATGTTTGCACGAACAAATTACTAATAAGGTTCCGATACGTCGAACCTCCGAAAAACCCAAAAGGGTACAAAAAACACATGCTAAGGCATACAAAATTTTTACTAAGTCTTTTAGCCGAAAAGAGGGAAAAGGTATATCCACCTTAAAGGCCGAATCGGCCCAACCTAAAGAGCCTAAGGCCAACCTAAAGAGCCTAAGGGCCAACCTCAAAAGCCTAAGGGACAACTTAAAAGAGCTTAAGGGCCAAACCACATAAAGTTCAAGACCTCGCTCTCACTTAACTCGGACTCAAGAGTCCCATTATTCCGAGCTCATATCGAATTGATTTAAGCTTGACACAAGGATGAAGAAAACCCTAATGGGTATTATATTGATCAATAAAAACCTAAGGGTTTATTATGTTCTAAGTCTAAATCAATACTCGGACTGATTGTTTGAATTATCGAAGTCTTCCGCAAATGAGAACAAAATAAATTCAACACACGTTAAGGATAGTGCAAAAAGATACTTTATATTCATGGGGGGTATTTTACAAAACATATTTACAACGCCCTCGAAGGGCCCTTGCACAGAAAAGAAAATGAAAACCTAATCTATTTTCGGGGTCACACCCCGGAAGCGTCATCTTCAGAAACTGCACCTTCAGCAGCTCTATCTTCGGGAGCCTCCTCTCCCTCGGGAACATCTTCTTCACTTTCCCTGTTCTCGGAGCCACTCGTTACGTCCTCATCATCAGAGGAGATAAGAAACCCGGCATCGGTTTCCCGCGCCTTTGCCTCAGCTATCTCCTAGGCAAGATTGAACCCCCGGGCATGGATTTCTTTGAAAGTCTCCCTCCGGGCTTGGCACTTGGCCAAATAATTACTCCGCTTTCCCCAGTAGGAGGCCTCCCTCAACTCATCTTGAACGGCCGCAGCATTCCTTAAGTACATGGCAATGGATTTATCTGCCGCAGCCTTCATCTTCTCAGCTTCAGCCTTAGCCTGTACAACTTCAGCCTTGGCCTGTACAGTTTCGGCCCGGGCTCTAGCGAGCTCAGCCTCCAAATCCCCGATCTTCTTAGCCTGAGCCAGACCCTTCGCTTCAATGCCTCAGAGCTGGGTTTCAACCGAGGCCAGTTGGGCCGCAACAGCTTCTTTATCGGCATCAAGTTGATCCATGTTCTTCTTCCACTGACGACAATCAGCTTTAACTTGGTCAACCTCACTCCGGAGCTGCCCAATCATCTCTAGCTTTTGCTGCAACTGGGATATCAAAGTGTTAGCCTCCGAAGTAGGGCCAAGAAGGCCGTGCTCTATCAAAATCATAGTTACCTGCTTATCTAGCTCGGACTTGCTTTTTTGAGCTTTGGCCAATGCAGTCCAGAGTTCCTTAAGCTCCTCTTCCTTTTGGCTACAGAGGAGCCTTAGGGCCTTCTCTTCGCCCAAAACTTTCTTGAGCTCGGTCTCACATTGGCTTAGCTCAGTTCTAAACTTTCCGATGGCCTATACATGGAATGGAGATATATAAGTCAAAAGAAAGAGAAGACAAAATTACAATGATGAAAGTAAGTACTTATCCGGGAGAGGAGATGTTGAGCCTCTTCGAAGATGGTGGATGCATCGTCAAGGTCATTGGCATCCTCAATCCCACGTAGCAACCCTGAAAGGGATCTTCCTCGAGGACCTTGCTCGGATCAGGCATACGCAGAGCATTTGCTTCCTTGATTGCCCCCTCGGAATAAGTTGGCAAAGAAAGGGAGTGACCTGTTGTCGCGGCCCCAAGCTCTTCACTCGGGCGTTCTCATTAGCTTCGGGAGTCTCAGCATTTGCCTCCTCCGGTATAGTTGTTGAAGATAGAGGCACAATCTCAACCTCCGGGGACACGGGGGCCTTGCCCGTCTCTTTTTTTGGAGTTCCCTCACCACAAGATGAGGTCTTTGGGAAGGAGGGTTTGGCGACCTCGATGGGTTTCCTGGCACGAGGCACCAGCTCCGACTCTTCGTCGTCATTTTCTTCGTCACCCGGGGAACAAGGGGCCGAATCCGCTCCCGCTTGAGCAAACCTCTTCCGCAGCCTCCGAGTAGGGGTTTTTTTTTATCCAGAGGGTCTTCGGGCTTCGAAACCTTGTTCCTTTTATTGTCCTTCTCCGATTTTAGAATCGAAGGCTTGGTCTTCTCCCCGGGCGGAGCCGGCCTCATCTCAGATGTATCCCCAAGGCCTGCACAAGTAAACATGAGTAAATTGACACCACCAGTATATGAAAAATATTTGAAACTCGGGAAAGCACTTACCATGGTTCTTGGCCTCCCACTGGCCCTTCGCTAATTCACGCTACTTGCGCTCATCGTAGGAAGAGGAGGCAGCTAACTTTCGGACCCAATCCTCGAGGTCTGGCATCGCGAGAGGCGCCCAGGCAGTGGCTGCCAAAAGAAGGCTAAAGGTATTATGAGATGAAGAAACAGAACATGAATAGATATCGGGGAAAGGAACCCACTTACGATTAAAATTCCATCTCTCCGGGAACAACATTTTATCCCCGGGGATAACATCCGAAGTCCTTACTCTGACGAACCGGCTCATCCAACCTCGATCTCTGGTCTCCTCAATACTGGCAAAGATGGCTTTCGTTGTTCGACGTTGCAACTTGATGAGCCCTCGAAACAGCTGGGGCTGATACAATCGGATCAGGTGGCTGAGGGTGAATTCTAACCCCTCAGCCTTTTCGGAAAAAAAGCGCAACATGATCACGATATGCCAAAAAGAAGGGTGAATCTGATCGAGGGTGACTTCGTATGTTTTGCAGAAGTCAATCACAACCGGATTGAGGGGACCCAGTGTGAAGGGATAAGTGTAAACACTTAGAAACCCTTCCACGTGGGTAGTAATGCTTTCCTCGGGGCTCGGGATCTGAATCACGACCTCATCTCCCCAGCCACAGTCCTTCCTCACATCCTTGATGAGCTTCTTTGATATCAAGCTAATATATCGAGATGCGTGCTCACACCGGCCTTGGACGTCGGGGGGATTTTCAATACTAAAGTCCTTCTTGATTATACAAGGGCCAGGGGTGATTTCCTCAAGAGTTGGCGGCACCACCGGTTTGGCCGGCCGGGAAGTAGAAGAAGATGACGCTTTATCCTTTTTAGGGACCGTTTTGGAAGTTTTAGCCATGACTGTAAGCTAAAGAATACGGGCTGCACAAGGATATGGTGTTTTCTACAAGAGCTTGGCGTTTTCCGGTGCTTAAAGAGGCGATGGAAATGGGTGATTAGAGAAAGAGATGAAGATAGGGAAGGTATAAAGAGAGAGTAAAGTTCTTTACTCAGAGAAAAAGAGAGATGAAGATTAGAGAACGACGGTTTGGCGGCGCTAGTGGCCGACCAATACTAGCGTACATTCAATGTTTTGGGGAAGTTGACTGACGGGACGTTTCTTTCACTTCAAGCGCCCGCATCACAGAAATGACATCATCACTAAAGACTTCGAGAAAACGAGGATAAAAAATGTTTCTTATCATCTTACTCTAAGAAACGCGGGGACTATTTGTATACGGTCGAGATCGAATGCCTTCGATCTATATATACTTGAGAGGTCGTTAGAAGTCTGAGTCCGGGTAAGGTCAGGTTTCGAGCTCGAAGAACCAGACCCGAGTTCGAAGGCGAAGCACGATGTAGACCGAGGTCGGGTATGTTCAACCCTGAAATAGTACCTTTATGGATTTGTACCAGAACGAGCTAGATTCCAGCCACATCCCCAAAGTCATGGCACAAATCACGGAATAAGATTATACAATTCCGTACTAGGTGTTTAGACAGCTATATCAAGAATATTCCCTACTGTAAATGGAAATATTCCTTATTTAGGGTTTTCCCATTATATAAAGGGGACCTTGATCATTTGTAAGACCATCTTTTACAGAGAAAAGAATATACTCTCTACTTTTTGCCTGCTGTTCATCAGAATTGTGCCCTAGCTTAATTGTTCTTACTTTGATTTTCCTATTTAACTGTTCTTACTGCCCTAAGCCACCTCGAGGTCGCCGTCTCGAGGTCACTGCTGCTAAGCAACACTGGTTTGATTCACTTCTACCTTTCATTTCTACTTCATATTTCTTGATTATTAGTTAGTATTGAACTAAATCACGTATCTTTAAAATCACAAATTAAATTTAATTGTTACTCGTATTTTCGAGGTTAATAGTAACCTAATCCGTTAATCCAATTACTATTGTATATTAACTTAAGATTTTTATAGAAACCCATAAACTTAAAATTTCGGATCCGCCTCTGAATTTTGCCACACCTACTCACGTTTACAAAGTCCCTTCATATGTATAAATTTCATTTCCAATACTGCCATCTCTCTTTTTTCAATGTTCGGTATAAAGAAAAATACTGCTACAAAAATATATCTTTAACAGAAAATATTTAGCATGAAAATTGGGTAAAGTTTTCTGTATTTTGGTTGCGTGTAAAAAGTAAGGTCCCACAATGAACAAGGGTAATAGTAGAATGAATACTATAATTTTTCACTCTTTATGAGAACCAAATAAGAAATCTTTTTTATAGAAATAAAAGTTGTTAACAATACAAAAATAATGACAAATGTAAGCGACAAAAATGGAAGCTATAAAGTTAATAAAAAATATTAGAATGGAAATCATTTTATACTATTGAGTGAAGGAAAAGAATTTCATAATTCAAAGATAAGTTACCTTGACCGCATTCTCCAGGCAGCTCTCGATTTGCTTTTCCAGTCTTCGATTCGATTTACATTACAAAAAGATAAGAGCGGCGATAATTCACTGTTTGTTTATATTTTCTCTTTTTCTTTTGCTTTAGTTTTCATTATACTGTTCTTACTTTATTTTAGAACAAAAATTTATGCGACATAATTTATTCAGTAAAGAGTATACGAAAATAAATATTTCAAATACTTGTAGTTTTAAATATATGGTAATATTTATGTGAATTCAATTATTTTTAAATATAAAATAGTTCTCTATTAATTTTTTAAACTACCTAATAAAAAATTTCTATCACATATATTGAGTATTTTATTAGACAAAAAAAATTCAACATTCGAGCATACATTCCACATTTAAATATTTGAGAACTTATTTAATTCTTTCTTTCATTAAGGAGGCAAGAACTGGTCAGCATTTGAGATTTTTGTAGTAAAATAATTGATTATGGTTAGGGAGCAGACATATGTTGGGTCACTTTTGGAAGTGGAATAATTTGATAGCAACTTTGTTTGCACAGTTATTGTTGCAAATTAGTTCTCTTCTGCTTTAAAGGTCAACAAGTAGGGGAATATGATCTGAATTAAAGTGACCTATTTTGAAGGCTCTCTCAGCTATACTATATTTCTGGGTTTTTGGATTTGGCTCTGACAAAGATGGGAGAATATTTATGACCCCTTTTGCCCATCTGGGTCATCCAAGAATTCGGTTCAAAATTTTCCATTTTGTCATTTTTGGGTGATTTAGGGAACTGGGGTTCAGTTCTTGGTTGATTATTGGAGGTCTCTAGAGATTATAAGATGATATGTTAGGAGACAGGTGACAAATTTTTGGGCCTATTTGTGGGGTTGGGGGTAGGGGGTGGGGATAGGGTTGGGGTTGGTTTGATGAAACCTGAGTTTGAGTTTAGGGATTTTGGAATATGGGATTAGATGGTGATGGTATAAAGGTGGAGTCTTGTGAATCAAAGGGGAAGAAGAAGAAGAAGGAGAAAGAGGATAGTGGTTGCTGGATTAAGTTGAGGTTTATTGGTGGCTGTATTTCCTCAAAATCTAAAGTTGACAGCTCCATCAGTAGCATCAGCACTAACTGTGGTAATTATTTCATTCATTCTGAAGAAGCTGCATGCCTAGTTATGAATTATGATTTGATTTATGCACCCCATTTTCTGAATTCCTTGAATATTGTTTCCTGTTTAACCCTTAGAAAATCGGTTGTTAGTATGTTGCATTCCTCCTGGTTTAATGGTAGAGTGTAGATGTTGGTGTTTCTGCGAATTGCTGGTTTGAGTAGCTTTTTTCCTCGCTTTGTCATTTCTTTTGTTTGTTATTCTCCGTTTTGTGTGTTTAGAAGGTTAAGTTGAGCATTAAACATAGAATTCACCTATTATAATTGAAAGAGAAACTATGCGACCCTCTTTAGAATTTTGTGGAACGCTGCAAGGTACTAATTAGTTGGTGAATGAACCCTTTTTGTTAATGCCAATGTTGCTAAGTTCTTGCACTCATTATTAGCAGAAAATAAATCCAAAAACGATACAAGCAAAGACCAGCCCGTTGCTCCGGTTATCTCATCAACGACCACAAGTAGTGCGGAAAGTAACTCCTCTACCTCTAAACATGAAGAAGAACTTAGAGTTTCTTCTCGGCTTCGAAAGTTCACGTTTAATGATTTGAAGTTGGCCACGAGAAACTTCAGACCAGAATCCCTTCTCGGTGAAGGGGGTTTTGGCTGTGTCTTCAAGGGGTGGATTGAAGAGAATGGGACAGCACCTGTCAAACCCGGGACAGGGCTTACTGTTGCTGTGAAAACTCTAAATCATGATGGGCTTCAGGGTCATAAAGAATGGCTGGTCAGCTTCTCTCTTGATTTGATTTCTAAATATTTTCATAAATTTCCTTGTCCTTTTTTGTTTTATTTATTTATTTTTGTTTTAGTTTATATTGTTAAATTCTAATTTTGCAGGCCGAAGTAAATTATCTTAGCGATCTCATTCATCAAAATTTAGTTAACCTAATTGGCTACTGTATTGAAGATGATCAGAGGCTATTAGTTTATGAATTTATGCCACGAGGAAGCTTGGAAAATCATCTTTTCAGAAGTACGTAATTGACCCTTCTCTAATATGCTTTACATAATTATTTCTTTAATATATCCGATAATGTTACTAAAGATCTGTTGTGAAAATCATCTTTCATTTATCACATTGAGATATTCTTGTGATACATTCTTGGTTAAGTTAAAATACAAATGTTAATTCCATGCATATAACTGGTCTCCTTGTCAACATTACTCGCTTTAGTCAAGTGGTAATGTTAGTACTTGGATGAGTAAGAGATACGTGTCTTCTCAAACTTTTTGGTAATATAACTTGAGTTCTATTGATGATGTTCAACTTTCTATGATGATAATATATGAGTAAGTGATGTCTCCTTCTAAAATAGATCTTATTTTCTATGGTAGAATGCACACGAGCTTGAAAATTTGAATGTCATAAAGGGTAACATGGGGCTGTCTTTATATTTAAAACAAAAGCTAACATGGGCCTCTAGGACGTAGAATCTCTCTCATGAGTCATGAATTATATTTCCTATTTTCTAATGTTTGGTTACCTGAATAATCATGGAAACAATCTTTTATAGGGAAATGCATTTCACACTACCAGGGTAAAAACAACTTGTGTCTTTACGGCCACCAATTTGCACCCTACTGCTTATCAAAACAATTTCCAGCTCCACTGCCAAAATATTAGTTGTCTGATTGTCATATAACCACTTTCGTGATCCACTACAGCTATACTCCTACTAATGCCTAAAAAATCACTACTGCGTGAATTTAATCAGTGACCCGAAATGGCTAAAGAAACAAGTTCTTAACAAGTTTTTGTTTAAAATATCTGCTGAGGATTTTTCCTGTCTAAATTATTTTGTACCAACTTCCAGTCATACAGTCACTATGACTTATTTATTAGCTGCTAATTTCCTGCTTCCTGGCAGGGTTGAGAGAAGCTTCTTCATAGTTACATTCTCTTGATTAGGGAAATATATTTAGTGTTTACTAATTCAAGGTAGTACGATCATCCACTTGGAGATTCGATCATGTCCTCGACGTCACTGAGTTAGGCTCCTGGATTAATTTAAAGTGATGGTGTTTGTCATCAGGAAAGAAACTTTCAATCATTTGTATGGTGCATTGAGGTAACTATGCTCTAGTGAACAAGTGGAATTGTTGCCATAGACCATTCTTGGTTACGTTAGCTTGAAGTTCCAGCCTTTTTTTTTCTGCTAAATGACTTGAAATACCAACTTTAAGCTCGAATTTTGGCTCAACCGAGCCTACAAGTTCTGACTTGAGTTCTTCTTGCTTGGAGATTGTAATACTTGTCTCAAGCTTGATCTTAGCCACCACGGTTCTTTGCCACACTCAATGCTTGCTGCACTAGGACTTTTATTTCCAGTTAACCAAAATAAATGAAGTGGCCAAAGAACTCAGTCGATGATAAAGATTATAATGACAAGATTGAATGACTGATTCTCATTGGTATCAGCAAGGAAACTACTTAAAACAACAATACCTGTCAAAGTCAAATCGACATCATTCCTGCTGACATGATCTTCTTCTCTCTTTTGTACTAGGACACTTGTTGTCGGAAACTTCTGTGATTCAAGAATGCTGATGAATAAAGGTAAAGACTGGGTATCTGATATAGGTAGTGGCTGATGGTGATAAATGAGGTGGTGGCTAGGATTGGAGGTGAAAAGAAAGGGGTATGGCAGCTAGAGCCGGAAATAATGAGTGTTGTTCAGAAAAATCATATTATATTCTTTGACTTTAGGTTTTATATGAGGGAGGAATAGTCAATTTAAGCATCCCAATTGGAAGCACATCAAAAACATTTTAATAAAAAGATTATAGAGATAATAGGATTGAGTAACCTTATTTTTGGATCGAGTTAGCCTAGAACTCTTAGAAAAACCTACTCGAGAAGCCTCGTGCCCCACTAAATGCGGCATCTATTCTTGGCGTCATTTTCTCTTAGAAACTTGTTGGTATTTGTTCAATGGGAACTGGTCAGTTAACTTGCTTGCTTCCATTGCACTGCTATTGCCAAAAATCCTTGATCGTCAATTGGCAATAGTAGGCTATATACCTTTCTGCTGAGAGAGTCATGCACAAGCATTTTCTTAATTCTCTATGCTTCAGCAGTTGGTAATGGTCCTTTTAACTGAGTTGGTTGGAAGAAAGGGAAATTAGGGGAGGTTGCCTTTCATGGGAAAGAAAAAAAATGATTTCATACAAAAAAATAACCTTGAAGAGGAGTCTTGGAGCAACGGTAAGGTTGTCTTGTCTCTGTGTGACCTATAGGTCACGGGTTCGAGCCGTGGAATCAGTGATGCTTCAGGATAGGCTGCAAATATCACCCTCATTGGGGTGCAGCCCTTCCCCGGACCCTGCGTTAATGCGGAATACTTCGTGCAGCGGTTTGCCCTACAAAAAAATAACCTTACACCGGTTTCTGTGTTGATCATGCTTTTTGGTATAACCAAAAGGTGATGACTTTTATTTTTTCACTTTTCCTCTTATTCAGAATTGAAGCCTGACATTTTTATAAGTAATGGTGCATTTAGACTTGTGAATTGCTAGAGCAAATGGTATGTTCTTATGAGTACTATTGAAGTAAAACTTCTTGTGTTCTCTTGCGTACTTAGTGCTGATGATGCATTTATCTTTAGGGTCCCTGCCCCTTCCATGGTCTATCCGCATGAAGATAGCTCTTGGTGCGGCAAAAGGTCTTGCTTTTCTTCACGAGGAAGCAGAAAGACCAGTGATATACCGTGATTTCAAAACATCCAACATTCTGCTGGATGCGGTATGTTCAGACACATTGTTAAAATTGGTCTCTCCAGTCATCATCATTGTTCTAATTACATGTTTTATCAGGATTACAATGCCAAACTTTCTGATTTTGGACTTGCCAAAGATGGTCCAGAGGGTGACAAAACTCACGTTTCTACGCGTGTCATGGGGACATATGGTTATGCAGCCCCGGAGTATGTGATGACAGGTAAGACTGAGCCTTGGTAGTTCTCTTTTCTTACAAGTTACAATGTTAATGCACATTCGACTCGAATGGCCAAGTCAACGTCATCAAATGCTGCTAAAGCTTTTTATACTGGTCACCTTTCCACAACTAAAAAAACAAAGAAAGAAAAAACACTTTTTATACTGGTCGCCTTTCCCCGAGAAAGTAAGACTTCTTTTACTGGTCCAAAACATGTACCCGAGTTGAAAAATCTTATAAATTTTTGACATCTTTGGCTAAACTTGCATTAGCTGGCTGATTGGTTCCTACTACTGATTGAAGCGTGTGGACCGCTCTTGTTGCAGGACATCTGACGTCAAAGAGTGACGTGTACAGTTTTGGTGTAGTTCTGCTTGAAATGATAACAGGTAGGAGATCAATGGACAAGAACCGGCCCAACGGTGAACACAACCTTGTTGAATGGGCGCGGCCACAACTAGGTGAAAGGAGGAGATTTTACCGCTTGATAGATCCTAGACTTGAAGGTCATTTTTCTATTAAAGGCGCCCAAAAAGCTGCACAGTTGGCTGCTCGGTGCCTTAGCCGGGATTCCAAAGTCAGACCTATGATGAGTGAAGTGGTTGAAGCCTTAAAGCCATTACCAAGTCTCAAGGACATGGCAAGTTCATCCTACTATTTTCAGACCATGCAAGCGGACCGAGTTGGGTTCAGCCTAAATACCAAAGATGGCCTTAGAACACAGAGATCATTCTCAAGGAATGGACAATTGCCTCCAAGAAGTCTCTCAATTCCCAATGGTTCTCATGCTTCTCCACATCATTATCAGTTTCCTCAGAATTCACCAAAACCAAAACCAGATGGGAAATCATAGAACTGGATTGTTGGCTCCCCTACTAGCAGATGAAGAACAGTAAATTTTTTAATCATGTTTTGATCTTTCAAAATGCATTAACTCATAACGGAGCTCAAGTCCATGGAGTAAATATTTGTCTTTGTCGATAAATTGGGTTCTCTCTCTCCCTTTCTCTTTTCAGATCGATTGATGGTTGGAATGGGGTAGTTCCCTAAAATTATGGGAAGCTATACCTCGTTCGTAGCCAGAAAATGGTTGGAGAGTGAGAAGGAGGAAGCACTAATCGCCCTACGTTGGAAACTAAGAAGAGAAATAAAATGTGACTCATCCTATTAGTCGAGCATAGCTTAGTCGAGCATAGCTAGCACTACCATGACGCCCTGCTGCGCCTGCATTGACGTGACTTGCAAACAATGCTGACGCTATATAGCCATTAGGCAACGCTCGGGACCACCTCCCTTCGTTTTAGAGTCTTAGGCGCAACTCTTCTAGTAAGAGGAGAGTCCAGTGCATTCTTATCGTATTGTTGCTTCTATCACGATAGGGAATCGTGTAATTCTTTCTATCCCCATGCTTTCTCGTTTTTATGGAGTTGTATTCCCTAGGTCATGCAGTTATCTTCCTTGACTCGACAGTAGTCAATGGAAAATCACTTGAGTTTTTTCGCTTTGCTCATTGCTTTTTTATTTTCAAATTATTCCTTCAATTAACAAAAAGAAAGAGAATAAATAAGATTCTCTTAGCTCATTTAGAAGGATCTCGTAATTTCATTATCCATGACTGTTCCCCTACGGATCATGGCCTTACCACTCGATCCCTGATGGCCAGCGGGGGATTGCTAGAGGCTCTATCCCAACCCACAGCCCTTTATGGAGTTAGCAGACCAAGAGAAAAAATTTCCCCACATATAAAGTACGGTTGTGTTTGGATTAGTTCAACAAAAAATTGAGAACTTTGCTAGAGTTGATGCATGACTGTCCACATTGAATATGAAAGGATATTATCGATTGTCAACTAAGTATGAGGTTGACTGGAACTTCCAGGATAAGCGGAAAGAATTTTCGCACTTCCACCAGGCACCAACAAAAACTTGCCATGTTTTGACCAAACTACATGGAAATCCAAAAATGAAAAATATAAATCTTTCTTATAAGCAAAGAGAATATTTTTCACACTAGGTTCAAGCTAGTTACACAAGTGATTAGGCTGTGCATAATTTGGTAAATATCGACTTCCCATGTCGAAATCGAAAATTTTGGTATTTGGTATACGGTATTTTGGTATTCGGTTTAAGTTTTTAAAAAAATTGGTATTAGGTATGGTATTTGGTATTTTAAAATAAAATACCGAAATACCAATACCGTACCGAAACATATATTATATTACACAAAACACATATTATTAATTATAACATAAATATAAAAGATCTATAATTTAACTTTTCTATATTCTCTAAGTTCATCAATTAACTCTAAACAAGTAACAAGGCATTTCTAATGATCAAATATTCTTTTGTGTACAATTTTCTTTATTTGGGTCGATGTTTGCTAGTTTTGGACAAAATTTTTGTCAACAAACATTTTCAGTTTTGTATTTTTGAGTACTTTAATTAAGAATATTAGAGTCTATGGCTCTATGCACTAGTTAGTATTCAAACTGAATAAACCGAAGTTACCGAACCGAATAAACCGAAACCGAAAGGAGAAAAATCAAACCATACCGAATTTAATTAGGTACGGTATTGGTATAGGATTTTAAGAAACCGAATACCGAACCGAAATATCTAAATACCGTACCATACCGACCGACGAACACCCCTACAAGTGATGACTATGCTCTCGATTCTCATAGAATTGTATTATTGCCTTCAGCAACTTATTCACGCCCAATAACAACAACAAGCCCAGTAAGTAAATTCCCACAACGCAGCCTTACCCCTACCTGGAAGGGTTTGTTTTCGATAGACAAACAACCCATTCACGCCCATATGCTTTATTCCTTCAAAAAGCTTCAACTTCCTGTAAGATTTTCCTACGTATATTAGTCGCCCAATAGGTTTAAGTCCCGTAATTAATATTTAATTGATGAGCAAATCTCATCTGTCCGCTTGGTTACCTGATGGACGTACCAGATTAAGTGAGAACCTCTATATATTGGTCCTCTCCCCACCCACTAGGGTTACCGTATTTTTTTATTCTCTCTTCCATCACTAAAGTCGGCGGTAATGAAAGCTAGGGCAAGGGGCGAGAAACCAATTCCAACTAACGCATCCGCTTCGTAATAATGGCTTACGATTCAGGTGTGTTTTCTGTAACAATTTTATGTAAGATTATCATGTTCAAGATCCTGGTATGAATTAAAGTTTATGTCTACATGTCATGAGCCTAGATTGTTTGAACTGATAATCTTCGTAAAAGAAATTATATATCTCTAACTGTATTGCTGTTACGAAAGTGCGTATTGCTAAAATTAGAACTTCACATATATTCAAAGATTTAATGATATATGTGAGGTTTCTGTTCATAGACAAAATATCATGATGGATAATAACTTATGGGATAAACTCTAGTTATATTATGTCAAATCGTCATTTATGGATCATCAAATTAATTGGTTTCATCCACCAATTTCATCTCTGTATTTCGCTATTCGGAGCTTGTAAGCACATTTGCTTGGTTTGAACAGATATTTGATGTTAAAATTAGAAAAAGATGATGAAGAGTGTGGATTACAGTTTAATTAGCAATAAACACTAAAGTTATTCATTGTTTTAAGTTTCTGGCAGCTATGTGATTATTGACTAATAAAGAAGGAAAGTAATTAATATTTGTACCGGGAATATAAACTTGTGGGATCAGATTACCCCAAAATCTCGTCACGGTGCACAAAGGCTTTCAATATATTAATGAATTTCATTGAATGATTTTGTTAAGTTAAATCACTTATGTTCGTTAAAAGCCATATTTTGTCCAATCAAATTGCCTTTATGTTTTAGCTTACTAGTCTTATGGTACGCGCTTTGCGCGTGTAACTAAGTCGGTGAGTAGATGACTTTTTAGAAAATCGTATTAGCACTATTAAATATAATATGTTTGTAATAAAAAAAAAGTATACTCCTTAAAATATAGCATATAGTTTTACTTGACAAGACTTATCTATAAACTTTTCCGTGTTAATTTTTCTACTTTTCTGATTATCTTTCACCGCCAATACTATTCTTATAAAAACAAATTTAGGTATCCTAAGAGTTTTGTCAGCTTGAAAAATAATTTTAATTATACGACGAATTTGACAAATAATTGATTTGAATTTTTAGACTTAATTATTTGACCTTAACATTAACGGAACTAATTTATGTTTTATCGATTCAAATTCTTAATATGAGCTCATCCCAAGTTTTAAATATTTAATTGTAACATGAAAGGGATTGCAATTATGTTATATCTTTCAAATAAGAAATAATTGTATAAGTTAATTAAAATTTAATTTATTTAAAGTACTGAAAGCTAAATCTCTCTACATAGTTCAAATAAAAACGAATTAAATTATAGTTAATTTTTAAGGTCTTAAAATATTTAAAAAACTTAATAATGAAAAGATATTATAGTTAAATTGAATAATTATAATAAGAAATGATTAATTAAGAAACTCTTGGCTAAGATAGAAAACCTAATATCAGTCACTAAATTATATATTGTTACTATGTTCGACCGCAAAAATATCTATTTTGATACGACATTTTATTATAGCATTCCATAAGATTTTGTTTTTTGAATCCTATGACATATAAATAAGAATTATTGTTTTATCAAACCCTTTAGAAGTATTGTTTTTCTAGAATGTCTATTAAAGCATTATAAACTCCAAATAATTAGTTCGACCATAACTTGAATTTCTTTTTCTTTTTTTTTGTTTCTTAGGATAATTTTAGGTTTTATGATGTCTATAAAGAATAAAGTTTTTCTAGGGCTATAACTTCTATATCTATCTTTGTTTATAAGGTAAAAAATTTAACGATCCTAAATTTTAGCAATTCTTATATATTTTAAATAAGTAAAGATTTAATAGCTTAAATTTTAGTTGATTTCAAAGTCCTAGTAAAAATATAAAATGTCAATTTTGTTCAGTGTGAACTCTAATTTTAAAGGACAAAAAAGGTGAACGACATTTCGTTAAGGGTCTTCGTGCCTAGAGGGGATAATTTTAGAGTACGCGCGTTGCGCATGAATCCTTATCGATGGGAATAAATTTTAAAAAATCATATGAATAATATTGTTTGACTTCCTATATTACTTAAATAAGCATAGTTTTAAAAAAATATGTAGAAAGTTATAATTTAAACGATCTTATAAATTAGAGTACAATTTACTACTAATTTAAATATATAAATCTAAGTATCTTATCTATGCTTCACTTGTCAAATATTGTAATTGGGTTTGTGATTTAATATGGCCATATATTACAATATGTAAATAAAAAAAATTAAAGTATGTTATATATTATTACTATTAACTATTATTATTTTTAAATGTAAGCATTCCATTTATTTAAAGATATTTTCTTACTCATTCTAATGTGCTTATGGTAGTTTAGAATAGTAACTTTTAGTGTTTAGAAATTTAAGAAATAAATTTATATAACTTAAATATTAGGAGTTTCTACATAGTTCAAATAAGAAAATATTTAATACCAAATTTTTAATGTATTTCACTTAAATATTAGAAAAAAATAATTACACTTTTATCCAATATGACATCATTTTCTAAAGTGTAAAGAAGCGAACAACATCCCACTAAGGGAGTTCGTGTTTTTAATATAGTATATAATATGTGGATAGATATAGGTATAAATAATTTGTATAAGATAAAAGTTTAATTGATTTTGAATAAGTTTTAATTGATATCAAAATCCTAAATATAAGGCCTTAGTTCAAATAAAGAGGATAAATTTAATAAATAAAACTTTAGTTGATCTCAAGATACTGAATATTAGGGAAAAAACATTAAAAAAAAGTTATACTTAATTTTCAAAAACTTTTGGCCCAAGAACTCCTTCTACGTGTAGTTAATGTTTAGCCTTAAATTTTTTCTAATTTTGGTACTACTAATTTTAATGTTACATACTTTAATTAGGAAAAGAATTTATGTAAAG